TTTCAAACTGATTTTTGTAGCCGGTCAAAGGGCTGGTTGGATTTGGAGATCCGATAGACCCTAAACATGAAATGAAAGGCGCGTACCGAGCGAGCGCTTAGACCCATGGACGAGTGATCAAAACTTCTAGGTGCCCACTGACGATAACATTTCCAAATGCCGCATACTAAGCCGTGCCTTCTAGGACTTACGGTTTATGCTGTCTATTGTGACCAGTAAACGTCTTGCCTTAAGTCCGTTCTTTGTTTTCCATACATAGCACTGCCCTACAGTTTAGGGAGCTTGGTTTTAATGTGAAGGGATATTAATCTCCAAAGGACATTCCCAAAGCACGAGTCAGCGTAGGACATGAAAGGCCACTTCCTGAGCCGCAGTGAGTTTTGTGAGCTATGCCGGAAGTACGATCAAAGCATAGGTGATTCTGTTAGGAATCAGAGTCTCTTTTTCCAGGACTGATGAGCAAGAAGTCAAGAGGATTGTGAAATAATAAAGTTTGCGAAAACCTCTCTTTATTGAAAAGAGATTTGTAATAAGGAAAGGTCAGTGACATCGCCCATTATCAGAAGCACGCTTAAGATATAATGCAGCTGCGTCAGCCAACCACTGGAGTAATATTGCCAGTAGAACGTGGACCGGAGGTCTCCAAGCTAACTTCTGCAGGTTTTTTTTTACCTGAACAGCAACCATCAGTTCCATAAACGCAACTGCTACCCTACCACGACTGTCGTCAGCATTGTATCTTTTGGCCAGATTGCAGACATCAGAAGAGGGTCTACCTGTGTTGCTGGAAAATAGGATACATCGAACAAGTATATTTCTCCAAAAGATGAGGACTAACACTTATGCCACCTAGCCTAGTATAGTTGGGGAAAGCGAGACGAAATTCCAAATGTTTCCAATCGACACGTCTCTCCAAGCTTTGAAAGAGGTCACGCGTCCAGTCGATAGTCACCCCGTAAAGTTCGAGATTGACAGTAGCTCATCTGTTACTCTCAAAAGCCTCATGTCTGTTTATAGCTCGTTCAGGTTTTCGTTGTTATTATTGAACAGGGCGTTTGAACCTGAGAAGTCTTTGTGGCCTAAATGGGATATAATGAAGAAATTCACTATTTTCTAGTCCTCGTGGTCAGAGGAAATCAACAACCAAATTTAACTCGCTTATACGCATGCAATGAAAATATAAGGCTACGGAACCATAACATGGTTTCTGCAAGAGTACTGAACGAAGGATGGGCATCGTACCTGTAGGTAGAAAAAAGGGTCGGGAAGGCAGAAAACAGAGCAGACGGAAAACGCACATCTTTGGGGTAGAGGACATCCCAACAAAATAAAATGAGGCAACAGGAAAATCAAATTATACAAAAACTCGAAAGCAGCTAAAGGGCAATCAAATTATTTGACCGAAATGGGGAGAGTCCGAAGAAGGAGCCAAACGAAAACCCTGAGTATATAGGCGAGAAAATAAATAAATATTACCTTAGGATAATATATGGGCCTTTGAAAACCAGTAGAATAACAATGGCATGACAGTTCGACCGTCGTGTCAGACGGTGTCCACCGTGTGCTCCACAGCGAAGTGAGCCAGGCACGGTGACTTGAGCGTGAATGGTTTTACAGTGAGAGTGGGCTTGCACAATATCTACCGCACTCTCTCCTCCCCAACTGGGCCGATGTCAAGACGTAGTCAAGAGGACCGGAGGTGAGGGAGGACGCAGGTAGCTGACAGATTTGCCTAGGCGTATCGCCACACCCACTGGTCAATAACAAACAGTTGACCAGTATTTTAGCCAACAACAACAGCATTACAACGGGTTAGGAAAACAACTAGGATGACTAGCCAGCCACGATTACGACCCGTTTACCCTGGCGGGAACGCCACCGCATATACCAGCAGGGTACCAGGTACTGTAGAACTGCCAGCGAACACAAGGCTGCAAGGGCCATCGTTTGCTGATCGTGACATGGCAGACGCATACAATCCTTATGACCTAAAAGGATGACTAGCAGTCCTGCACTCCGCCTAAGCCATCACCCTACAAAAGCCGGGTAACCAGTCAATCACTGGCTGAGAGACACTACCCATAAAGTTCAGTTCAGTTCAGTTTATTTGAGGGAAATATAGGTGTTAAACCTTTGAACTCCCTATTTGTTACAAGAAGGCGAACAATAAAAAAAATTTGAAAATGGAAACATCAAACGGCTACAGAGTTTCTTCAGATTGACAACGTTTTGCAAGCCAGACAGATAAACGAATTGTTCCAAGAGTAAAAAACATTAACGTTACTAAATGTGCTGTACAGTAGTCTGTCTAGGGATAGTTGGTGATATCTCAGTTTCGGAGGGAGACGAATTGAATGCCAACACACATTCAACAGACATGGGACAATATTAAAAAAAACAAACGTTACTGAAATACAGAAAGTAATATAACAACGTTAATAAACCGTTCGAACGAAATGCTAGACTATCTGTCAGGTGGCATTATGACGAGTGGTGGCAATCTGGTCCAAGTTGCGCTTAAAAGCCTCGACGGAGGTGGACATTACGACACCTTCAGGCAGAGCATTCCAGGCCTCGATCACTCTGTTTGAAAAGAAGAACTTCCGAGTATCCAGCTTGGCGCCAGTTACGCGTAGTTTAAGTGGATGACCTCGGAGGTTCGTTGTGGTCGCTAACTCAAAGAAATCAGTAGGTACGAGACAGCAGTCCTGGCCGCGCAGTATACGGAATGTTTGTATAAGGTCGCCTCTTAGCTGTCTGTAACTCAGTGGAAAGAGGCCGAGATTGGACAATCGGGTTTCATAGGGTAGTGAACCCTGTCCACTTACGAGTTTGGTTGCCCGCCTCTGAACTTTCTCAAGGATGCTGAGATCTTTAGAGGTCCACGGTTTCCACGCATGAATAGCGAACTCTAGCTGTGGCTGTACGAAAGTCCGAAAGACTTTAATGAAGCAGTCCTCATCGAAGGTAGAGAAAGCTCTCTTAACAAGATAAAGGACTGACATCGCAGACTTGGCTACCTTAAAGCAGTGAAGCGACGGTTTTAGAGAAGCCGTTACCCACACCCCCAAGTCTTTCTGGGCGTCTACCTCCTGCAATGGTACGCCGTTTAGGTGGTAAACCCTCCGGCTCAGAGATCGAGTCCTGCCGACTCGCAGGACAGTACACTTAGTCACATTAAACGGCAACAGCCAGTCGGGTCAGGTCTGCCTGCAAGCGCTCTTCGTCAAATTCAGTTCGGATGACGCTCCAAAGTTTAACATCATCAGCGAACATGGCGACATCACAATTCAGTTCACTGACACAGTCGTTGACGTATATAATGAATAGTGTAGGGCCAAGAACGGAGCCTTGTGGAACACCGCTTTCAACCGCTACCTCCGCCGTCTGCCTGTCACCGACGTGGACGATTTGAGAGCGACCGCACATGCATGAGAGTGCAAAGATCATATTAGGAAGGAGTCATTGCATTCAAACTCTCAGCCCAGCAGTCTGCAACTGACTGAGTCTGAGGCGTCAGTCGACAGCCTCCAGAGCCACGACGCTTGCCGCACAAGAATAGTCTCAGACTCGGGTCTAACATTCAGCAGAGGGGCGCATTGAGAAGGAATCAAAAACACTTCCCACATAAGTGAGAGGCTTGAGTGCTTGAATTGTGCTGTGAAGGGTGTTGTTATTGATGCAGGTGTTGGCGAAAAAGGTGTGATAATGCCGTGTAGCCGGCGATTGTCTTACCACAGGTTTTAGTGAATGGGCATGTGGCCTACCAGAGTGAAGGATTAGTCACTTGAAAACGTACTTACTTTAAAAGCGCAATGTCATGAATGGGGCGCAAGGACTGTCCCAGCTGCCTCGTCAAACCTAAATGTGCGGTCGGGTCCCATTGAATGAGCCGCAATTTGGGTGCTGGCGACTTCCCTCCTCCCTGATGCTGCGCGCTCAGCCACTCACGACCGCACATTTAAGTTTGACGAAGCAGAAAGTCTTGCCAGAGGTGACAACCGCGTGAGCTGTGAACTGCTCGGACTATGTTTTTCCGGTCCTCTATCAATCAACAAGCGCAACGACCTCTCCACTCCATATTCAGCGCTCCGACTTTGTCCAGAAAAAGTAGTTAGCCGCAAGGAGAGCGTGCGGATGACTACTGTTCCTGGTGTCAGTGTCGACGAGTCAAATTGTCCAATAGTCCACACGGATGACGAAATCAGGCAGTCAGCAACCCGTCTGCGTGCAATGAACGTGGGAGCCGATAATTTTGGCCCGCACACAAGCGCATAGCAACTGCGCGGTAACTGCATACAACACCTGGTCAGTCGAGCCGTGATGCACTCGGGAGCTGCCGACTGTGATAGGCGTGTAGCGGCCTAACAAATAAATCCTACAAATACTGCAACACCTGAACAGCTTACCACCCTTATCTGACTGCGACTTTAGCTGTCACGGCAACCTGCCGACTGTAGTAAAAGGCAGAAACTGCTGTACTGCTTACATCCACCAGGAGGAAAACGGACCGAAGATTGTAGGCAAGGCATTAGGCACTTTGCCGGATTATTGCTTTAAAGGTGCCAGTAAGCGGGAAAATTCGTGGACGTATGCTGGGCTGCCGAAAGTGCCAACAAGAAGACAATAAACACACCCCTTTAGCCCAGGAATAGGAAGAAGCATAGAGTTGCGTGCCGCAAGAAGGGAATCAGAATATATTTGTGCCTCATAAGCAAGTTCCCAAACCAATACCTAAGTATATACGGCGAACTGGGAGAGTAATAATGTACAAAAGCCGTTGGTGTGGCCCACGAAATGAAGTCGGTGGTAGCAGTGCCTTATATGAGGACGGGCAAGGACGCGGTGTGCGCGACGGCACTTGGTGGTCAGATCGATATGCCGACGCTTAATAGTAGAAAAAAAAACAGTGAACGGGGGATGCACAACTTCAACGGGACAAGGAAAGCAACAAGCCGGCAGCAGGATGAAGGACAACCAAAGTAAAGAAGGACAAATTGTTATTCACAAAGCGGTAGGCGAAACAGAAGAAGAGAGCGATGGGGGGTGTCCTTTCGAAAAGCGAACATGGGAGATTGGCTGCCTGCTTGGGGAGAGGCGGGCCCGGAGAAATAACTGTGCGACAGAATGAGCGAGCCAGTGGAAGTCCTTGAGTGCACAGCAAATGCGGCCAAAAAAGAGAAAGAGGACCTGTGGGATGAAGAAAAAATAGGCTGAAAAAGACGTTTCAAGAAATGCAGAAGTCTCACATTTGTCCTTTTTAATTTCCTAAGATTTTAACTTCATCCGACACTTTTTACTAGTTGTTTGATGAGACCTTCCTGTAACCGGTTTCTAAACAGTTGCATGTGAAAGCTACTACTGCCAGCAGTGGCTCCACTAAACTAGTTAACTCGCTTGGGAAGAGTTGGCCCGAGCGAAACAAAAAATCTGCCCCTTTGGAGATTAATTATACCCCCAGATATATTCTTGGATAAATTGGGTCAACATGTCTCCTTTCCTACTTTAACGTGCTTTCGAGATACAACTAATGGTTTGAAATCAGGATGAGGCAGCAGTACTTAGAGCTGTATGGGACGGTACTGCGCACATGCGTCCGTCAGGTAGCAGTTCATTATTCTCTTGAACATAGTGAAGCATGCCGATCGCGTTGTTGGTAAAATAAAAAAGCATATTTAAAGAAGGACATGGTTTGAAGAAGAATGATATTCGACGGCTCTTTGCCTGTCTCCCACCACTGCATCACGTAAAAAACCAAGCAAAGGAAATACGCGCATTCGACGTCAATAAATTCTTTCTCCAGGGGCCTACGCCAACGGGTGCTAGCCACAGCCGAGGCAGTGGCTATACGGCTAGCCAATCCAGTGCTATGCTGTCAGAAGACTCTGACACAGGCGCTCTGTCTTCCGTGGTCAACGCCGACCCCAACCTCCTGATGGCAGTGGTGTGTGCACAACGTATCCGAAGTACAAACATTACTCACAACCTATGTCTCCCCTCTCCCTTGCCCCCTTGACCCAATGACCACGAAACGCCGACCATGCCATAGCACGCCTCGTCATGCGAGTGGCGTGGGAATGATGGGTGTTAATAATCCCTGAATCACTTATAAGCCCTGAAACTTCGCATAATTTAAACTTCTATGCAACCGTTTTGGCCTGATGAAGAGTTATCGAAAACACGTGTTTGCCAAATTGACTTCACTATACGTTTTGTTTCAATTTACTGGACAACTCATAGCATGCTAGCAATCACTAGCACAATTCCCTTTTATCAACACCTTGCTGATAAGCTCTTACCATCATGCTCACTGACCTAGTAGCAACGGCTACGGACTAAGATAAATTTTATCAGTATTGGCGGTGCGCACAACCTGCAAAACGGCGAGCATTCATCATATAAGTCGAATGAGGAATTTAAATACGCAGGGCGGTGTTAGGCATTGATCTAGAATAGATGCATCAGGCATAACAACCCAAGGTAGTCGACGCGTGAGACTACATTACAGATGCGGAACACGCGGCCATCACCAAATGGCATGTTGGTTGGTATCAAACGGCTCGGAACTCTTTGACACATAAAGTCAGAAGAGACAAAAAGGTGAGGAGGGGGAATGCGAGATGGGTGGAGGGGGCAGGGAGTTGATACTAACGTACCTGCTCAATAAGATGGGGTTAAGGCGATGAACCATCGACGCGAGAGGTGGGCGTGATCGGGTATTGGGGCGAGGAGGAGGAGGCAAAGGCGGACTGTTCAAAGAGCTGTCGCTTCACCCTGAAAGGCAGGAGTTCAGCAGACGCACGGTGTGTTGAGTGCAGGGGGCTTGTGTGGGCAGTCTCAGGCGAACCCTGCCCCGACTTCAAAATGCCTACGGGGGCTGTGCTGGTGTGCGGTGGGTGCGAAATGTGTATCGAAAGGGCCTCCACGTCGACAGCAGACTAGGAAGAAACCACAGAATAGGTCTAAGTAGTGACAGGTTTGGGAAGGCAGGGGAAATCAGCGTCACCACCAGCAGCGAGATGGGCGCGGAAAAGCATAACATGCACGAAAGTGCGGCAGAATACCGCTGAACACGTAACGAGGGGGATGCTGGGAGGGGGGGGGTAAAAAAAGATGAAGGCAGACGGCGCAAAAAAAGGCTGTAAGAACTGACTCGATCAGAAAGGCAACACTAGAATAATCAGAAAAAGAGCAAACGAGAGTACGAAAGTGAAACAAGTGTCGCGAAGTTCCAGTGGAAAGCAAAAGTAGGAAAGGAAGAATTAGAGACAGCGAAGCAGGATTCACTTGTCCGGCCAATATGAGCAGGAAACTGCAATGCGCAGATAGGGGAAATTTGCCGGCCAGAAGGGGGCCCCGAAGCGGATAAGTCAAACGTCCCCATTAATAATGTACATATCAGTCCGTTTCATATCAAAAACAGGCGAAAATAGGCAAACTAATGCAAACATATTCAGGTCCAGACTAACGGCACATTTCTATTCTACAATTAGAATAGATCGGTACATGCCACTCCCAGCTGAAGGATTCTGCCTCTAATTTGACCAGGGTATCGGTCTTTTTTGAATTAGAAGAAAAAGAGATCTCAATAGCTGAAAACATCATCAAATGACAATATATCTGGATTTGGCCTTGAGAGCTGGGGTAGATAAGACATTTATTCCTTCCAGATGAGTCAGTATTCGATATATAAAGACAAGCTATCTAATGAGGCCCTGATAAACTATGTCTTGGCGGTGCTACCCATCACCTGGTTAGACATTATTTATAAATAATCTGCACAGCACGGGAGCCTATGATCGACGGTGTTGGTCGGAGACATAGTTAGCTTGATTATACTACGGAGAGGCAATGAGAACCAAATGATTCAGTACGTTGGCACGTTTTCTACGCCAAATGTACTTTTTAAGCCCAGGTGTCATGTACTTTCAAGCAAGGCAGTTCTAAAAAAAGAAATTTTCCACAAGGTTCCCTGTGAAAATATGGATTTTAGGGATCGCATCTGATAAAGCTGAATCGATCATGGCTACTGGTGTTAGTCAAACAGTTCACTAACAGCAACGAGTGTGAGATGATGGGGGAGATGTGAAAACCGAAAGAATTGATGAACAGAGACGGCGTGCTCACTCCTGCATACCAAATGTAAACTGCTCTGGCTGGAAGCTGTAAACCAGCCACAGAATTGGTGACTGCCAAAAAACGTCAGTACGGGTACCGAATAGTGAAGGGCTAATTAAATTCTCCCTTGCGGCTCTGCACTGAAAACAATTGGCGGTAGGAGACCCTAAAGCGACGTTTTTAGGCGCCTACGGGTCGTTGCGCATAAAAGAGTTTTGGCTAATCCTGTTGGGGGTCATTTGTCCAATAAAGCATGCAGACAGGCGAGGGCACAACTTTGCAAAGTGCTTTCCTCCACTTCATGATCCGCCTTCGAGGGACGTGTTGTCAAAATGGAGACGCCGGAAGTAATTTGGCACTAAACGCCTGGTCAGAACATGGTCACCTCTAAACTCAGCAATCGCGTTCAAGGAAGCTTAGAGACAAAACTTTGGCATACAGAGGGACTAGTCGACCGTGACAATCGACGTTACGAACTCTGCAAAAAGGATGTATAAAATACAAGTAATTCAAAAAGTTTAAAAGACGACGACCACAAAAGTGGAGGAAACATCAAGCTCAACTAAGTAGTAATATTTGGCTTTTGTATAATGGTTCAATTAATTTTTCTCCAGGTCGAACTATGAGATAATTAGGGCATTTGGTCAGAGGATACATGATACCTTGGATAGCAAAAATGTAAAACCGGGAAGCGTCTAAGAAGTGGACAAACATAGCAAGGAAGAAAGTAATACACAACGGCGACAAACACAAGGGAGATAACTCGTAGGCGGTGAACAAACTCATCCAACGAACAGTAACGTCGTTCTATGAGGTGTGCTCACAGAGTAGTGAATCAGCTTGTCACTGGTCAGTTCGAATTCCACAGGTGATGAGACGTGCGGCGGGGGTGGATCAATCTTCCGTCCGCCGCTGCTGCCAGCTTCACGGGATCTAACGGATAACAACCGAGACTCCTGCACCAGCGAAGGGAGGTTCTCGAACGAAACCCGCTCAAGGTGAGGGGAGGGGAGGTATTTAAGTCGGCATAGAGAAACGTCGCCACGACTGGGTGAGAGGTAGGAAGCGAAGGCACTCAACTCCCCAACATCATCGTCCAGGAGCCCCTCAACTCTCAAAAGACCGACTGCGCGGGCAGGCTGGCTAATCTGCGACTTGCTTCCGTCAAAAAGGGGCGTAGTCATTAACTGTGACTGGAGAGCCGACTGTCGCCGAGAACAGAGGGGTCGTGTAATGTTGCAGAAGGCGGAGGGGTCAGCGGTAGTGGAACAGGGCAAGCTGTTGGTTGACGAGCACTGGGGACTGATGCGAGAACTCTGCAGACCGCTCTTGTTGTGCGCTGAGGGCCAAGAGACTGTACAATCCAAAGAACACTCGGCCGCGGGCACAACTTTGAGGGTGGTGAGTTGGCGGAAGCCAACGCCATCGACGCAGCGGTCCGCTGTGACCACAGCAGTCCGCATAAGCTCTGTTAGATCGCGCTTCATGCAACATAAAGGGACGATAATAAAATGAGTCTACACTAGCAAGACGGCCGCATGGACAGTTCCAACTATCGTACGATACTTGAAAATCGTCTGACAGATAAAACATGATTAAAAACATCTATTAGTGTAGAAGCAAGCGCAACGGGCTAAGCATTCGGGCATATCAGTACAGCCAATTCAAGGACAAAGCAATCTCCTAAAATGAAGAAATGGACAAGTTAGAACGACAGCAGACCGTTCAAACGGCAAAACTGCGGCGAACCATGCACGGCTACAGAAAAACAATCTAAGTAAATAAAAAAAAACAGCTGAGAGCAAACCTTATATATCTGTTTTCGAATGTGCACTTCCTCATCAGCTAGTATGTGCCCTTACTGTCAAAAGCACCACACCAATCTTTTTCCAATAAAACTAAGGACCTTACACAAGCTTATCGAAAGGGGATTTGACGTTGAAAAAAAGGTATGCAAGCAACCCACTCTTCTAAGGGCCCTTCTTTCTGGCAACGCATAACAATGATCGGCAAAATAGAAACCATCGGAACGGAGCTCCATTTCTAACAAGGCTTTCGCATTACTCGGTGCCATCACCAGTCGATCAGGTACTTGCATATGCGTTCCAAAGTAGCAGACTGTCAAAAAAGACAGACTGTTCCATCTATCAGTCGAAGGCTGAACAAATACGCAGTGTGAAGAAAGGCTACACGCTGTAAACCGATTGTACAACCAAATTCAACTTCTTACCACCCCCAAATGATTGGAGGATGCGAACTCCAAGGCAAGCGGAAAATCAAAGGGTAGCTCACAATAAGAACATGCCAAAGTAAAAAGATAGACGTTCATTGCGCGTGCGCGGGGAGGGGGAGAGCGAAGAAGACGTGCATCCCGGGCCAGCAAAGAACAATGCCAGAGAAGACAACATGCGGACACATGTACAGTAGCGGTGCACCCCAAGACCAGCGGAGGAAGGAAACTTACAGCAGCGGCAGAGGCGTGTTGGCGAAAGACAGAGGATATGCTCACACGTACACACGCACGAATGGGCGTCTGGCATCATTGAATTGAGGTCAACTCGGAAATCTGGTGAAGCTGAGAGAAACGGCGGTGCACAGACAAGGGGAAAGAAGAAAATACACGAAATAACGCGTGGAGAGCCGACCAGACGGCCGGGCAGCCAGAACTAAAGAGGGTACTTTAAGGTGCATGATTGGTAGAATGGGATAGCGGAGCTCCATTAATTTTAGGCGAAGACGGTGTAAACTTCGAAAATCAGCAGTCGAACGCATCGACAAAGGCAGTTAAAAGAAAAGGTTTTTGGCAGAAAGTGGAGGAGGAGGGCAACCGCCTAAGAACATACAACTATTTGGGCGGTTTTGTGATAAAAAAGTAAGGGCACAAGAACGCGAAACAATTTTTCTCTACACATGTACTGTCTGGTTCTTCGGCAAATAAACCTCGAAAATTACATTAACGCTCAAAATAGTGAAGTCTTTGAGACCTCACACGTGGCTTGTGGGCTCGCGCGTTAGGCAGCTGACGATGACTGATCACGGTTAGTTCGAAGCAAATCGACAACCTGGCCCTCGTTGAATGGCTCTCCCGGTTACGCATCCATAGCTCCTCTGTACAATGATTCTCCTGACTAGTCCCTATACTGCTGGCATGCTAATTTTTACATGACAAACTGCCCTTCAAAAACCCGAAATGGGAACCTCCCGGTTATCGGGGACTGTATTAGCCAGTGTGCTTTTAGGGTGTTGAGACCTTCTACGTCAACGTAAGATACCCGACTCTTGCTCATCCCCGGGTATGTACAGACAGGACATCAGTAGGCACATATAAATCCACAGGAACACAGGTATTGGAATTTACATCTGACCCCGAAATCACAGTTGGCGTAGAATACGAGAGAAGTAACCCACGCCTTCCCAATTCTAGCGTCCACTTTATGTGGGAGAAGGTGAAATGACATTTCAGGGAAAACAGCAGCCACTGAGCAGCCGCTGCAAGACATCGGCAAAGGTAAGAACAAGAGGCATTGCAGAAGAATACAGAAGGCTTTGAGAAACGACAGACATTTCGAAGGCTCACACAGACGGCCGAAAACAGACGCACAGTAGTCGCACTTGCAATTAATTTCTGATAGAGGACATACTGTAAAACTGTAAGCCCCTAGAGTCAACCAAAGCAGTGCAAGAATCCGTGAACGGAAATTATGTGGTTTGCGAGAAAAAAGAGAATTGAGTGCAGAATAGGCAAGTAGACGAAAAAAGGTTGTAGCGGCATGGACCGCCTACCTCTAAGGGCTTCACACGCTCTTCCGGCGGAGAGTCAAGGTCAATGAGATTACAAGTTTGAACGGGAGCCACAGTAGGGGCGGTGTCAGCTGATTGCGATTCAGCCAGACGGAAGAGTTCAGTGGCTTTCCGCAGAAAAGTCGACGGGTCAACACCGTCGCATACTGTCAGACGGAGATTTCCTTCACTGGCGTGAACGACCTGCACGATATAACCACAAAACAGGGGCAGTGAAATTGGCTCAAGCGACGATGTAGGGTTCCGGTGGAAATACTGGAAAGATCACTAGCAGATTAAACCAAGACATTCACATATCGTTACCACAGAAGCATCCGGAAAGCTCACATGAATTATCAACGAGTGCAAACCTAAAAAAGTAGGAACCTGTGACACTGGCAATGAAAGCCGTGAGTGAGTAGTCCGGTTACTCCCCGAAAAAACCGCAGCCTGCGATATGAACACCAGAGCTAACAACAATAGACAGAATTGGAATGCCACTTGAGGACCCAAGACAGCAATAATTGCTATACGTAGACAGAGTAGAGTTCTTGAGAAAAACCTGCCAAAACGGAGATTCGGTCGATAAATTAACAACCAGGACCGAAATTTGCGTGTTTGGAAATGCTCAACATGGGTGGATATCCTTGAGAATCGTGGGTCGGGTTTGGTCCTGCAGCCGCACTGGAAATGGATGAACGTCGACTGTCTGTGATACGGGAATGGTGGTAATAGGGGTTATACGCGTGGGGCATTTGGACACGAGCAAGGGAAGGCAGTAAAATGGTAAGATAGGTAGGGGCAAGTGTAAGGCGTTACTTTTTGTAAGTTGCTGTGTAATAATGATAATGAAAATTTAGGCAAAATAGCAGGCGAAAAGTCAACATGTTGAAGTGCAAAGGCTATGTTGAACGCAATTCCAACCCACGAACAAGGCCGCGCACCTGCACGCCATTTAATTTGTCTACTGCATGTACTGCAAAAGCGAAATTTTCGTGAGAATGTCAAAGAATTTCCTCCTGTGACTTTGACGTACTTCGTCTAACCCCTAGCTGGATTAGGCAAGAAGGACCGGGCAAGTGGGAGGGGGGGCGGGGGATGAAAGTGCACTGAGCACTTGACCTAAACCGTGCCTTTGACGTACTTAGCCTGGCCACTCGCTGGATTAGACAAGAAGGAGAGGACAAACAGAACGGGAACTTGGTGCAAGTACAGTGAACACTTGGTTTGAACTGTGCCCTTGGCGCACATAGTAAATGCAGTCAAATGCATATGTCAAAGAGTATCACATCAACATAATCACGCCTACTCAAAACAATTCAGTAGGCCAACATTATGATATTCCCCAAGTTCGGTTGCAGGACCAAAACTTGACCGAATCGCGCATCATTGTGAAATAAGATAAACATTTAATTGAAGCTCAGAAGAGGCCAGCCTTTGTAAGGTAATTTTTAGAGCCCAAAATCTGCAGCAAAATGGCTTCGCGCACAAAGTCCGGTCTTAAAAACTTGCCGGCTCGCAGTAAAATACGGAGTAGCCTCAAAAGGTTGTTGGAATCACGCATAACTCGATAAATCCCCCAGGTATCGGTTAAATGACCAGGATGTATGTCCTTCCTCAACTGAGAGAGCGTCGTCGTACATCAAGCTACAATTTGATGAGAACATTCAGTGGAAAAAAGGGAAAAGACCTCTTGCACTAAATGCCGTCATTAGCGCCCGTTAACGACAGTCAATATAAGCTTATTAAAAGAAAACAAAATCCCTACAATATTATTGAAAAGTGTGTATAAAGTTGGCCGTGAAAGTTCCTCCGATAGTGCCGACTTCGTCGTTGGTACGGCTCTTTTACGCAAGCATACGAGGCTCAGACAGTCAGCATACTCTATCTGATTTGGCGAATTCAGTACGTTGCGGTAGGATGGGCGGGCAACTAAATATACAGCTCCCAGTAGGGCTTCGAAGCTCAGCTGGCTCTGAGCGTTGGCTGTACTCAAGCCTCAACCTTCTTTTCGTGGGGTACGAACCCCGCCGAGATCGCCGAAGTTTTCACAGGTGGGTTAAAAGAGATTGGGGAATACATTTTATTGGCAGACACGAATAAGACGATACCGATGGTTATAGCATAGACCTAAATCCGAGAAAAAAGAGGTGGGTCGAAAGATGATCGCAGACGGAAGCCTTGTCACAATAAAACCAGTGTGATTAGCCAAGTGGCTGGCAAAAAGTGCAATAAGAGTGATCGGAATTCAGCCGCAAGGATTACGCAACCACGGCCACTACCCCCGGCATCAGCATGTTTGCCGCACCAAATTGAGTGAAAGACGACAGCCAAAAAATATCGACACCAGTTAGTCCAACACGATAATCAGTGAAAAAAGAACAAACCTTAGCAATCTCCTGTAGCTCAAGCCCCAGGAGCCAGACGGAATTGGCCTCCAGCAGTCGGTCTCCCTGCTTCAGACGACCATCTCTTGCGACGGCACCACCGGGAACGACGCAACTGACGAAAATGCCGTCCAAAAGGGAGTGAGAGAATCGACGAACATCCCCGTTCAATGGTGACTGGAAAGCCAGCAGCTTGAGGCCAATTTTATCCGACGAACGGCAGGGAATATTCATCTCCTAGCAGGAAGGCAGAAAACAGCAGCAGCGGTCAGGCAAATGCTATAAGAACATCTTAAAAAACGGCTGCCCGCGCTAGGATG